CGGGTGGTGTAGGAGCTAGGGACTGAAAAGATGCTACAGCTGAAGGATTGTTTTATTATTTGAGTATCCTCCGAACAACATATGGACTCACTTTCCATCACCCAGAGGAAGGTACTAGAGCAGTGAATACTTCTTTGCGGTGTTGACATCGATTTCGGAGGCGCTTGGGTTGGAACCCCAAGGTTTCAGGTCGTCTAAAGAACTAGACGTGGTTTTAAAAGCGCATCTGGAAGGTCGTCGATGTAGCTTAGAACGAGAAGTGGTCCCAAGATGGAGCCCTGAGTAACTCCAATGCAGACGGTGCAGAAGAAGAGTAGGTTGATTTGACTTTCAATCAGAATGTTCTACTTGATAGGAAAGCTCTAATCCAGTGTAGAATTCTCCCTGGATCCCATAAGACTCGACCTTTTGGCGCAGTGAAACGTGTAGCTCTTGGATGGATGCTTTTGACAATTAAATATGGTATCCGACAAAGACGATGGGCGACCATGAGTTGCCCAAAGATTTAAACAGGTTGAACGCAATCCACTGACCCGACGATCTGAAAAGAGCACACCGTAATTGTTACATGGGGGAGGTTTGCGCTTTCCCACGGAATTTTGGGTGGGTAGTAATAATAGCACTCAGATTCATTTGTTAATGGTCTGGTATGTGAGTGAAGGGTTCGGATGGTCAGCTGTGACGGAGAAGAGAGCGATTATGGCTGAGGAAGTGGCTCGGGCAGTAAAGTTGATAGGATGCTCCTATATTCCGCAGGTGAGCCAAGTAGTATATATTTATGCACAGTGTTCCAAAGAGAATTAGATAAAATTGGAGTAGGCTGAATGGATTTTACGGGGATTGATGGGGTTTATGGAACGGTGGATCAGGTGAACCTGCATAGCTCTCACAAAAGAATCGGATCCTATCAGCAGAAAGAGATCGCTAAAAATCCTGACAATAAAGTTCCTTGTAGTGTCAGGCAGTGAAGCATCAGTGCCAACACTGATGTTGCTGTCTTTGATGACGAGTGTCAGGCTGGAAAACGAAATTCGCGTCTGATTAGCAAGGTTGAAATTACCTCAGATAAAAACAGTGCCATGTAGAATTCTGTCAGAAATCTAAAGGGCCGAGAAACTGGAAAAGGTCCCCTTTGGATTTGCGACATTAGATCAAAAGGGCTTGGTTGGTAGGGCTTGAATATTTATATCGGAATATTGCCCACGATGAAGTGTATGGCGCATCTTTTAGGTCTCGACACATTCTTCGATTGAACTCGTTGTACGATCGAACACTCATTTGTTGGTTACCCTGTTGCAGATTTGCCGACACCATCCTACAGGTGTTATGGTTCTGAAACACTGGTTGTTGACAAAGTCACAGTTCCGCTGTTCGCAGGGAACCTGTCTCGCAGCCATATCAGAAAATATCCCGTGCTATAACCTGATACACATATCCCTTAGATTCTGGGATAAGCCAGTTTGCCGTCAGAGGTGTCTCAAATTAGCATGCCTGGGCCGGGCCTTGGATATTGATGCATTGACCTCACACACTGTTACACTCTCGGAAGTCTGAGAATGCGACTTTTTAAATACAGTTAAAGTTTCTGGTCGTACGGCAGTGAAGCTTCACTCTCACAACTGGTGTTGCTGTCTGATGGTGATGATGTTGAGGTCTCTGGATCACCAGAGTTGCGCAGCCGGAAGCGAGTGAAGAGTGGTTAGCGCAGTGACTATGCGGATCTTGTATTCTTGTTTCTGACACAGTATATATCAACATCCAGCGGGCCTAGTGTGAGAGCAGAAGCAGCTTGTTATCCCTTTTTCTTCAACATCAAGCGAACATAGAAAAACTGCTAGATGGACCGGGCATCGAGGCTTAGATATTGATGCTTGGGGCTATCAATGCCGGCTGACTCGAAGGTGTTGCGGCGAAGACAGATGCAAGACCAGCGCGGTTGTCAGTCATAACGAATCGATGAACAATGGGAGTTTTATTAATAGAATGTGGTGAGGGGGTAGAGAAAGTCTGTGAAGGAGAAAGAGGAGAGGGTTCGAGGCAGCCTGCTTTCGCTGACCCGCCCTACTGTATGCCGAAAGTAAGACGAGCCGATAAGACATGGCAGTGTTTTTACTCTCATCAGCCGTGGTTGTATGCAAGCTGGGGTACTAACGGGACGCCTAAACATGGATGGGAGGACAATTAGGGTCATCGAGCAAAGCCTTTGGTTTATAAGCCTGACCTCAAGGCAACAGCGTTTGGTGCGAAATGTCAGCACATTGCATTTTTAGAGAACACACGTTCGGACTCCAAATCTGGAGGGCCAAGAGACTGTATTGGTTAGACCTCTAACCATTGACCAGCCTGGTCTGGAAGATTATGCGAGTGTCGTACGGGCATTCCCCGTTGAGTCTTGGAGGCGCACGTAGCTCAACGCCATGGTAAGGCGTTATGTACGGGAGTGAATTGTGATCATCTGGTATTGCTGGTTGATAATGATGGTACTGATCATAAAATGGAAATCAGGCGTAATTCCACGGACATCATGCGCTTCGTTTACTTTCCAATTCAGTTTTTTTTTCAGCTGACGAGCCGTGCATTGTGATGCAGTGGTTACAGCTTCGTTCACCGGGGGGATCTTTTCCCTAGCCTCGAACTAAAAGGTCTTAACCACGAGGAAGATGTTAGGGTTTTCTTGGGGGACTCTGCTCGGAGTCAATGATCCACCTGGCTGTAGGGGGCCGACCTAGCCGGAGAACGCAGGGAGTAAGGCATTACTGTCTCACTCCCAATGCAGCTGTGCAAAGTAGGTGCCTTTCGAGCGGCACCGGACTCTGATTTCAAAAGTACATCGACCCTACTGAGTAATGTGTGGGTGGTCACGGTCAGCCTTTTGGAGATCGGATTATGCGGTCGAACTTTTCTAACTCGTCCTTCCTCAGGGGAAGACAACACGGCTACTTAAGTAAGTATGGACATGCTTGTCACCCGGGAAAAACGCCTTACTGACTCTGCACTCATTTGTCGGAACTCATTAGGTTTCGCTTTAATGTCTGTTGTCGTTATAGACTAAACCTTCCGCCAGGTGTACATGATATTTACTGTTCATTTCCGCTCTTTACTCTTTAATAGCACACCAGCTAAACCATTTTGTGAGTATCTTCATGTGGCAGTTTTCTGCTTGCGAATTCAATGTGGAGTAATATATGAATTACCCTGAGGGCTCGCACATCCGATATGATGTATTCTTAAGGATGAGAATAGCATTATTATCAGTACTACCCTATTATACATACAGCTGTTGTCTTCGTCAGGCAATCTAGCCTTATCGTTAGACGAGACAAAGGAAGATCTAAGCTTTTAGTTTCAAACCTACTGCAGCTAACATCGGAATACCATGGGTTTCCATAGGTCACTTCGTGGGCTTGCTCCTGACACAGTCCGGACTTTGTTCATTTCCCACATACCTCTACTGCTTCATTACGAGCAATTTGCCATCGTCATCTTCGCAAAATAAGGTATACTTCGAGAGCGATTTTACTGTGACGAATCGATCTGTGGAGTTTTATAGATCAGAGGCGCAATGTGTACTCGTGGGACGTGCGAAATCTCCCGATGTTTGACCATCGGTGCCTCCGAAGCGTCGGTCAGGTTCGGTGGAAACGTTGGGAGAGATCACCCAGTTGTTAGAGCGCGAATTTACTGATCGAAAGGTCCATGGTTCGAACCCGACCTCTGCATTTTCACTTATCCTGTCTTGGCTTGGGCAACCTGCCAGTATCCCACCCCTTTCGCTTTCGGCAGCTAGGCGTTAAAAGGGTATTACAGCTGAACGATTATCTTATCTTTATCATCTGGATGGTCTTAGAGAGGACTGCTCGATGGACTACTCAGGCTTCACTGGTTATGTTGGTTGGGACAGATGCTTCATATGTCAGATGACAGTCCACTTCCTAAAGCTTATTTTGCCTAGCCCGGTCTTGAATAGAAATGATCAGAATGTTGACAGTGTTATTTGCCAACGAAGTGTGAAAGTACTGACCATTAAGCATCCGCCGGCCCCTGAATGAGAAACAGAACTCGGCTCGTCACCGGTTAATGATGCTGGAAAACATGGCCCAACCAGACAGCCAGTGGCGTTCTTGCGTCAAATCTATCGCCCTCAATGCTCAGTTTACCGTTTATTAAGATAACTAAATAAATTATACATAATCCAACATAATCCATCTTGCTTCGAGAGCGAAGAGTTTAGGAATTGCTTGCAGAAGCTGGGTATCAGACGGCTGAGGACGGCACCATACCACCCGCAAACAAATGGTCTGACCGAACGTAATAACCGAACGATTAAGGAGTGGCTTGCGGCCAAAGGAGGTGACTGGGAAATGAACTTGCCAGTGGTGTTGTTAGCTCATCGTGCTTCCACGCAGTCAACCACAGGCAAGTCCTCTTTTATGCTGGTGTACGGTCGACATCCGCTCCTTCCGGTTGATCAGGAAAATAGGCTGTGGCCGGGCACACGCTTGTCTCCTNCCCATAGGCACGACTGTCAAGTGAAAGGATCACCAAAATCCTGGAAGGAGTGGACTGGGGTCACGGAAGCTGGGCAGTCGATGGCAAGGGCCGTTTGTAGTCACCAACCGCCGGGGGAACGTCTATACCATTCAAGATGGTCGGGGATCGAAAGTAGTGAATGGGACGCAGCTTCGCAAGTGGCATGATACACCCGAAGAGCGGCCGAGTAGACCCGCTGCCGAAGCCAACCTGAATGAAAATCGATGGCATGCGAACGTCCTTTAAGGGGTGGAGTTGTGTAACGGTGATACTACTGACGGGGAGGCACGCAAGTAGTATGGATTGTTCGTAGAATTTCGCTTTGCGTCTACTGAGAAAGGGAGATCTCTTACGGAATTCGTGGAGCCACTTTGTGTAACATTTGCGTGGATTTGACCGACGAATGAGATGGAACGAACATCTCTAATGAGGAACGCCTTGACCGGTGGGCTGAATACTTTGAACAACAAATGTCTTGGCCACCAGCAGGCACTCATCTACAGCCCACAGGTGAAGTAGAACCCTGGACGGTGAACGTGGAACCACCTACGGCCTCGGAGGTTTACGACTGCATATGTTCTCTCAAGCGCCACCGAGCTCCCGGTCCGGATGACCTTCCACCTGCACTGTTCAAAGACGGGGGTGAAGTCCTCAGTCAGCGCCTGTCCGACCTGTTTGCTTGCATTTGGGAAAAGGAGTCTGTCCCAGACAACTGGGGAGAATCGGTGATAGTGCCCATCTTCAAAAAAGGTGCGCGTAGTGAGTGTGGTAACCACAGGGGGATCAGCTTGACCCCGGTTATAACGAGACTGTTGGCGTCAATTGTGCT